CCATGTCCCTCTAAGCTGCATTAACACGTGTAAATACATCTAAATGCCACTTCATATGCAACTTCTGCAAAGATGAATTTTATTGATACTGATTAAATTTTTAAGTAACAGCCTAAATTTATTATTATAATTGACTGATTAAATGTAAGAATTTGACTCAAAAGATGATGTACACTTTTAGAACAAAATGGCTTTATAAAGGTAAAAAGTGCCAATAAAAGGTAAATATCAATTTAAACATAAGAAAATATTAATTTCTATCACTGTTGTGAACTGACCACACAGAATATGAAATATATCAAAAACTTTAGGAGTCAGCTGTCCACGGTAGTCCTTAAGATATTATCACAATAACACACTCAGCAAAATATTGTCTAATTATCTAATATAATATAAAAATATTGAGATATTATTTTCTGTCAATATCGCACACCCCTAGTACTGACACAAAATGATTTGCAACGGTCGCTTTGTCATAGACAGCCTCAAACAGTTGGTTTATTTCTGGCCTTTTTTCTTTTCTTTTCTGTTTTTTTTTTGGCTAGTAAGTTATGAATGGCCGGTAACTTAAAAATTGAGTAGCCAAATTGGCTGGTGAGTGAAAAAGTTAATTTCAATCCCTGTATATGTATAAATATAGCCTACAGTATGTAAAAAAAAATCAGAGCTCGTGGTCTGCCGGTAGGTGCCTATGCCCCCCCCTTTTTTCCTCCTTTACAGTTGTCAGTGATGGCTTCATCTCGTTCTGTGCTCCATCATTAATCTGTTTCACACACGCTTGGGAAGGGAGAGCTATTTGATGTTTTATTTAGCAGTTTCCTGAGGGTTCCCCTCAGATCTCGTCTTCCTCGGCTCAGCTAGACGCTTGTGTGTTTCTCTGGCTCTGTCTGTCTGTCAGTCGGTCTCTTTCTCTGTCTGTTTTCTCTCTCTGAGTCTTTTCCGCTAGGGATTGCTCTCTGAGCTGCTGTTGTTGTAGTGCTGCTCTTTGTGATGTGAGAGTCGGGGGTGTTTAGAGAGAAGATGATCTTTGTTGATTCAGGGCTCGGATTTATGCTGCCAGTTTTTGAATTGCAGAAAAAGTCAAACTAATCTAATAGATATATCAAATTCACCCTGCAACACAAACAGGACATCTTCTTTAATTACATATAATATCTGTCAACTGATACACTACAACAGCACATATACTGTTCAAAAGATGATTCTTCTGCTCACCAATGCTGCATTTAATTAATCAAAAAGACAGTAAAAACTAATCAAATATTAACTGTGAAATTTGCTGCTCAAGGAACATTTCTGATTATCAATGTTGAAAACTGTTCTGCTGCTTAATATTTCTGAAGCAATTGATTTTTTTTAAGAAAGTTCAAATTTAAAGTATTTATGTATGTAAATAATACATTTATAGTATATAATATCATATTATATCATCTTGGATTACCAAGATGGCGCCGACGCTGATGGCTGCCTCCGTGGCGTGCTCCGCAGTTGTTTTTATGTTTTTGTTAGTTTGTCCTGTCTTTAGTTATATCCCTCGAATCAGTTTCACCAGAGACGAATTGCTGGACATTCGGCAGTACACACCACCCGATATTTCACCGGTTTTGGAAACCTCCCTGCTCTCCCCCCACTCACCATCATGGAGAGCACTGTGACTGCAGTGGAGTCATTCAGGTTCCTGGGCACCACAATCTCTCAGGACCTGAAGTGGGACACTCACATTGACTCCATTGTGAAAAAGGCCCAGCAGAGGTTGTATTTCCTTCGCCAGCTGAGGAAGTTCAACCTGCCACAGGAGCTGTTGAAACAGTTCTACTCCGCCATCATTGAATCCATCCTCTGCACTTCTATAACTGTCTGGTTCAGCTCAGCTACCAAATCTGACCTCAGAAGACTACAGAGGGTAGTTCGGACTGCTGAGCGAATCATTGGTACAACCCTCCCTTCTCTCCAAGAACTGTACTTATCCATAGTGAGCAAAAGGGCTGGCAGAATCACTCTGGACCCCTCACATCCAGCACACTCCCTCTTTGAACTGTTGCCATCTGGTCGACGCTACAGAGCACTGAGCACCAGAACGGCCAGACACAGGAACAGTTTCTTCCCTCAGGCAATCCATCTCATGAACACTTAACAATAACTGTGGAACACACACTATTTATACACTCATACACTTATTTATCTAACACTCATACTCAGTCTACACCTCAAATTTGCACATAATATACAGTACCTGTACATACAAAACTGTCTATTGTAATATACCTGCACATACAATTGTCAATTTATATATTTTTATTCCTTATTTACTTTTTTTATTTTTTATTATCTGTTTTTTGTTCTGTCACTGTCATTCTGTTACACTGTGGAAGCTTCTGTCACGAAAACTAATTCCTCGTATGTGTAAACATACCTGGCAATGAAGCTGATTCTGATTCTGATTCTGATTCTGATAAAGTTCATGTATATATATAGTATTTATGTTGGAAAAGCTTTTAATAGAAAGCTACTTTACTGTCACTTTTGATCAATTTAATGCAAATAAAAAATATTAATTGGCTAAATAAGAATAAAAAAATAAAAATAAAAACTTACCTCAAACTTTTTAATGGTTATAAATATAGGCCTATATGTTTATTATATATTATATATTTAAATAATATTTCATTCAGTACTGTTACAGTATTAATAATATTAATATTGCATTAAAATATATACAATAGAAAGTTTTCAATAGAATGTCACTTTACTCTCATTTTTGATCATTTTAATGCAAATACAAGTAATAATTTGCTAAATGAAATAATTTATAAAAAAAAAGAAAAGAAAAAAAAATCTGACTCCAGACATTTAAATGTTTATAATATATACCTATATTTTTATTATATATTATACATGTTATTTATATTTTATTCAGTACTGTTACAGCATTATTAATATTACTATTAGTATTATATTACTGTGTATAGTACTGATATTAATATTAATGATGCTGTAACAGTACTCTAACAAGCATTACATAAATACAATATAGTAATATATAATAATAATTTGATAAATATTTAAATGTTTATAATATAGGCCTATATTTTTAATTATATATTATACATTTTAATTATATTTTGTTCAGTACTATATGCAGTAATATAGTACTAATATTGATATTAATATATATAATAATAATTTTCAACGATCTTATCAGATCTCGAGCCGCCATGTTTTGAACGATCCAAACGTAACACGCTTCCGCCATTCCCCACCTTGAAGCAATGATTGACGGAGGGTGGGCGTGGTCAGCCTGGAATGCATTTTCAAAGCCGCACTGAATTTTGCTACAAATATCCCACGGCGTCAGGATGAAAATGCAATCCGAAGTGTTCTAACTGTTAAGTCTGTTTTGAGGTTCCAGTTCACTTAGAAGGCAGCTAGTAGACGGCAAGGTCAGTGTGTGAATTCACCACCTGCTCTCAGCAACAATTCATGAAGCAGAACAATCCGTGTTTGGACACTGAAGGCACATCATATATTTATCGTGGAACAAGATGTAAAGTGCCTGCAATCTCTTCTGTTGTATCAGGTGATAAAGGCGGTGGAGGAGAACTACAGGCTGCCGGGTCCCATGGACTGTCCGACCGCCCTCTATCATCTCATGATGGACTGCTGGCAGAAAGACAGGAACAGCCGGCCCAAATTCGAGGAGATTGTCAGCTTACTGGACAAACTCATCCGCAATCCCAGCAGCCTCAAGGGTCTAGTTAACCCATCAAACAGGTAGACGACCAGCCGTTATTGGTTTATTTGTGTTCCTTTGTTCTCGTTCTTTATTGTTCCCATCAGAGTATATGCTAATTATGCTGTTATTTACAGCATGTGATTAATGTCGACTGTGAGATCTCAAATTATGTCACGTCTGTGAAGCATTGATAACCACGTGTTAAGCACCCTGGTACACGGTTGTCACAAGAAATCAAGGTTTAATGACACTTGTGACAAATACGCACTCACATTTCATGATTTAATGTTGCGTTAAACAGAAGTGACAGTGTGCAAATGACTTCCAATTACTGTGATTATACGTATCGAATACATTTGCGGTCTGTATTCTTACTTGTTGGAATCATCCATTATCTGTAATTGTGTTATGCAATTATGTCCAGGTTTAATATGAAATTGATTTGGAGTCTGGGGATGTTTTGGGGGCTGCGTTATTGCGCCGTAATTTTCTTTATTTGCCTTGGATGATAATATTAGCAAGTGTGGCCAAGAGATCATTGATTATATTAATATGTATAGTCATAATACGACTTAATTTAACATGCATATGAAAGCAGTATTATAAGCTGAGTTTCATACTAATATTTGTTCTGCATTCTTAAAATGGTTTGTCAAATAGCAAATATAGGGGACTTAAGACCCCAGTTAAAATGTTTTTAATGTAACATTTTATTGCAAATTTTGTGTGAGGAAATAAACAATCTCAGATTTCAAGTTTAGGCTCATGTTTTGTATAATAGCACAGTTATTACAGTATAATAACACAGTTATTATAGTATTATAACACAGTTATTATCATTTTACATATTTTGAGGCAAAAACTTGCATCATACATGTACTAAAAGCCTGTTAGATGGCGTATTATACTTTGAGTCAGCTCAGATCCGTAAACGTTTTTATTATCCAGCCTTCACCTAGAACTGTAATGTCAGGTTCATACATCCATTTGTTCACCACTGTACCTGTCTCTCCCACAGAGTGTCCAATTTATTAGTGGAGCATGGGAGCCCTGAGGGCTGTGTATTCAGATCGGTGGAGGAATGGTTAGAGGCCATAAAAATGGGTCGATACACTGAGCTTTTCACGGAAAGTGGATACACTTCTCTGGATGTAGTCACTCAAATGACCTTGGAGTAAGTCATCTGTTGTGGAGGTCATGGAGAATCTTTGCCTTTCACGTAATGTTTAGAGTTGTATTGAGAGTGTTTTTATCAGGGGGAGTTTGGATGCACTTTCTAACTGTTACAGTTTATGATGCGAAAGAGATGCAGAATAAGGTACTGTAATTTAGGTAATTGTTTCCAGAGTTGAAATGTTACTTTATGTTCTTTCAGAATAGGCTGCACTAATAAAGACAAAATTAAGGGTAGAGTTTAACACTAATTTAAGTTTTTAGAACTAATAGTCTTTTCCATACAACACAAATGAATGGAGACTGGGGAGGATGACCTGTCAAAAGCAGGTTTGATGTCAAATGAAACATTTCAGCGAAAAGATTAAAGGGTTAGTTCACCCAAAAATGAAAAATTAGCCCATAAATTACTCACCCTCAAGTCATCCTAGGTGTATATGACTTTCTTCTTTTTGACACTTTTTTTTTTATGGATGGGCGCATTTTATTTAACTGTTTTTGGACGGATGCATGCAACACCCGCTGAGTGGCATTAAACATCTTGAAAGATCAAAGACCATTTTTAATATAACTCCAACTGGATTTGTCTGAAATAAGAAAGTCATATACACCTAGGATGACTTGAGGGTGTGTAATTTATGGGCTAATTTTCAGTTTTGGGTGAAGCAACTTAAATGTTGGATCTTTTGTCACAAAAGTCAACATTCAGTTTTGTTGAATGGAAATGAGCAGCTTAGACATTCTGCTAAATATTTGCGTTTGTGTTCGATGGAAGAAAGAAAGTCATGTTGCATTTGGAACATGAGGGTTTTCATTTGTGGGTGTTTTAAACTGTTATTTTGGTAATATTTATATAGTATTATAGTAATCAGTAATATTTTGAATTAGCTTTTAGATATTTTCAGTTTACATTATTTTATTTATTTATTTATTTTATTTTGGTAATGTTATGTGCTTTGTTATTGTATTCTTTTTTTATATTTCTATTTAGCTTTATTTTTATTTTAGTTTGAGTTTGAGCAATTTTAGTGCTTAATTTGTATCTATCTATCTATCTATCTGTCTGTCTATCTGTCTATCTATCTATCTATCTGTCTGTCTATCTGTCTATCTATCTATCTATCTATCATTCATTCATTCATTCATTTTATTTATTTATTTATTTATCTATATATAATTCATTCATTCATTCATTCATTCATTTATTTATTTATTTATTTTTTTAAGTTGTCAAGGCCATTTTTCCCATTCATCCATTTATTCATTAATTCAACATTTATTTCAATGAACAAAAATGACATTTAATAGTTTTAAATTTTGTTAACAATAACAACTTGTTTAAACCATTTAATTTTGATTAGCTTTCATAGATAGAAAATGAACAGCAACAATGTTATTTGTGAAGCAAACTTTTCAAGATCCTTTCTTTCATTTTGTGTAACAACAGGAAACAACAGTAGTAGCAAAAGTAGCTTTTACAGAGAAAAACAGAATTGAAACATTTTACTTTCATTTTTCGATGGTCAAATTTCACAAGTCACTAAAGTTTGGTCCAGTTAAACTAGATAGCTATTTTTTATTTTTATTTTTTTTGACTGACTCCAGGTTATTTAATCATTATCAGTGAATAGCAGGAATACATTTTATATCTATTAAAAAAAGAATAAATAAATAAATAAGTGAGTGAGTGAGTGTGTGTGAGTGAGTGAGTGAGTGAGTGAGTGAGTGAGTGAGTGAATGATTGAATAAATAAATAAAAGGCTGATTTGTTGTTCTTTTGCAGAGATCTTAGGAGGGTTGGAGTCACTTTGGCTGGCCATCAGAAAAAGATCCTCAACAGCATTCAGGAGATGCGAGTCCAAATGATGAACGCCACTATGCCCATCTTAGAGTGGCCTCAGAGGAACCTCCAACAGTAGCCTAGCACTTTCTACGGACACTTATTTATTGAACTGAACTATTTAATGAAAAAAAAAAAAAAATTGACACTGATGAAAAAAAAAAAAAACGTGTAGAGATAGACAAAAAGT